TTTGGTTTTTTTGGTTTTTCTCCGGTACCGGGAACCGAACTCACGACCTTGCGCTTGCCAGGCAGGCGCTTTGCCGCTGAGCTAAATCCCCAGCCCCTAAGACCTCATGTATTCATGGATTGGAGGAACTATTATTGTGAAAATGGCTATATTACCAAAAACATTCTTCACTGCACTAGAAAAAAATCCTAAAATTCATATGGAATCAGAAAATACACAAACTACTCAATAGCGCTGAGTGCGTGAGCAAAAGAGTGATGCTAGAAGCATCACAACACTGGATCTAACATACTGAAAAGTAACAGTAATACAAACAACGTGGTACTGGCACAAAAACAGGCAAAATCAACCAGTGAAGAGAGAAGAAACAAAGCTATGCGTCTACATCCATCTCATTTTTAACAGGCCAAACCATATACTGGAGAAAACACAGCCTCTTTAACAAATGGTGCTGGGAAAACTGGATATCCACTCGCAAAAGACTGAAACTAGATCCCTCTCTCTCACCCTCTACCAAAATCAAATCAAAGCAGATAAGAGACCTAGACATAAAATCAGAAACTTTGAAATTGCTGGAAGGTAACATAGGGGAAACACTTGAACCCATAAGCAAAAACTTCCTGAATAGCACAGGAGATAATGTCAAGAATCAACAAATTAAAAAGCTCTGCAAACCAGGCAAACAACAGGGAAAAGAGGCAGTCTATACAATGAAAGTCTCTGCTAGCTACTCTTCTGCTGATAGATTAATCACTAGAATCTATAAAGAATTAAAAACCCCATTAAAAATGAGCAAATGAACTGAATAGTACTTCTCAAAAAAAGTAGAAATGGCCACCAAATATATGAAAAAAATGCTCAACATCTTTAGCCATTAAGGTAAATTACAACTACTCTGAGATTTCTCAAAAAATTAAAACTAGAAATACCATTTGATCTAGCTCTACCCCCCAAAATTAAAGACAGAATACTATAGTGATACTGTATATCCCTGTTTATAGTAGTACAAATCACAACAGCTAAGCTATGGAAACAGCCTACGAGTGCACGAATGGATTTCTCAGAATGTGGCACATACAAAATGGGAATATTATTCATGCATAGAGAAGAATGAAATTGTGTCATTTGCAGGAAAATGAATGGAACTAAAGACCAGCATGTAATGCCAAATAATCCACATTCACCTAAATAAACAGATTCGAGAATGATAGGAAATTAGAAGACAGACCTGTATAAAGGGTGAAAGGGGTGGGGGAATGGAGGAAAAGAGAGGGGAGGTAATGGGACTTAAAATGAGCAAGGTAAGTTTCCTGCATGTATCAATCCCCCAAAACTTCATTAGGTATTACTAACATGTTCTAATAAAAAAAAATTTAAAGACCAAGTGTCAATATAAATTACAATACATATGCATCATTGAAACAAAAATGGAAACAAAAGCCTTCAGAAAAACCACCTAGATTTACTCAATATACCTCAATTAAACGACTCCAGGTAGAGTAATTAACCCTCTATCAGCAAAAGAGTAGCAGAGATTTCCTCTCATTGTGTAGACTGCCTCTTTACTCTGTTGTTTGCCTTGTTATGCCCAGCCTTTTAATTTGTTGATTCTTGACATTATCTTCTGTCCTAGTCAGGAAGTTTTGCTTATGGGTTCTAATTTTACAGAGAAGGTTTTTGGGGGAGAGGGACAAAACTTTTTGAACTAAGGATTCCTTGATTCTCTGAAAATGCACAGTTCACCTTAGAAAACACTGTAAGCTGATAGATGAGGCCAGGAATTTTGGTGTGGCATCCCAACCTTGTTACTGTAAGAGATTTCACAGGTAGGGAGGGAAGGTCGAACTTTGGGCTAAGCTAATAAGCATACGATGTCACACCTTCTCCATGCCCTATTTTCCAGACAGATAGCAGGAAGGTTCAGTGCTTAAATCAGGAAACATATTCTACACAAGGTTAAATTCTTCCAGCACCAGAAGAAAATGGCTCACACCTGTCAGGCCATACCTCAGTAATTAGTTTCATATACAACAAGTCTTACTTTGTACTGCAACGAATAGGCAATCACTTTATCATTACCAGTACTGATTTATCACAGGTAGAAAACTCTTGGTTTTCTCAAAATGTTAAAACATGAGACAGTTATTTAAAATATATTTTTAAAAATAAATAGTAATATGTATTACCCTCAAAACATTTTCAAATTATATCTACAGTACTGGCAAAAAAGGGTACTCTCCCAATACATGGATGTTTATATACATACTTCATACATGTATGACAACTAATGAAATATATGCTCTAAAACACACAAAAGCTGAAAGAAGTCCAAAGAGAAAGCCTAATTTTTTTTCTGGTGCACAGCCCCAAGTGTGTGTTTCCCACTGTGACAATTATACAGGTAAGCTCCTCATCTATATACCCCTCACTGTATCATACTTGCGTCACTCACTTCTAAAACAGAGGTCTTCAAATGGTCAGTTCAGTGAGACAATGTCACTCTTTTCAGATTTGCCAAACTCAGGACAAAAATGAGAGGAGAAAAATCAATTTCTCAGGTTCACAAAGACCAGCTTGGATGGGTTCCATATAACAAACAGGTTGTTGCAAACACAGGTAATGCATCTATAAATTACCTTGTACTGAGTGTTTATTTTTAAAGTCCTCAATATAGCCGAAATGTTGAAACTCCTCAAAAGTAGTCAATGAAAATAAAGTATCTCATTATGTGGTTAAACTTTACCCAGGTTAAGGATCACAGCCTATCATTTACTGACTCAGCACACCACATGAAATCATTGGTGACTTCAAAATTAAATGTAAGAACAAACTTAACTTTCAGGTTATGCCTTTCCAAAAGAGTAAGTACCAACTGGCAATTACTCTGTGTACTTCAGTTATTAACACCAGGAACTAGTGTTAGGAATAACAGGGAGGAGCTATCACTCAAAGAAACTGGGTTATCTTTTGTGGGTGCTACTGCAAGGACCACAGCCCTCCTCTTTCTCCAAAGCAATGCACCCTGCCCAGAGCATGCTGGTCTCTAGCCAAGACAGACTCAGAAGCCAACCCACCTGCCCTACAATGTCCCTGACCCAGCTCTTCTTTCCTGCCATCTAACTTACAGACCTTTGAAAGTATAATGTTTACAACTCCTCACTCTGCAGAGACAGAGAATGGGAATTCATACCAAGCATTTTTAACTGCTCTATTATTCTGCTTTCAGTTAGTATCCACTAAATGCACAAGACAGAGACCCTGCAGCAGTGTGCACAGCAGATATTACGAAAACATTTATGTTTGAGAATAAAGAAATGAGCCTCACAGAAAATCAGACCAAAATGAACTGTATCTGAGCTGCAGAAAGCCTGTTTGAACACCTAAAGCCTGTTTGGATTCCATTCAACTCCAGCAAAAGCAGCTCCTATACCCTCACTCTAGAGCTGCAAGTGGTTCACCACCACGCACTTGTGGCCTTTTCATCCTGCCACCAGCTGGGTCACTAGTTACCGCAAATTCTAAGGCTCCACAGGCTTGTTCCGGCAGTTTTCAGGGACAGGTCACCTCATGGCTTCCTGGCCAACTTATAGATTTGCTACCCTTGGCAAGACAGATCCCAAGCCCTATGAGCTGCACCTGAGAGATGCTACAGAACTGGGTATAAAACAGCACCCAGGAGGACTTCTCTAAGAAGCATCAGTCTCCCTTTAAGCAGTCCGAATGCAGCATACACCATGACTGATGCTGCTCACACTCCCGCAGCCATGCCCATACATCCCATTTCTTACCACGACCTGCACACCATCTGTACTGCCATGCTAGCCTAAGCCATCATCAGCTAGTCTGGAAAAATGCTGTTTAGCTCGCACATGCATAAATGCAGTCAGGAAATAAAACATGAAGCAAGCTTTCATATAACAGTATTTTATCTTTACCATATATCAAGGATTCTGGTTATCTTCTATTCTAGAAAAACAATCCCAGTGTGATCCACTCAATTTCAAGACCACTAACAGATCACTGCCCCACAGGCTGAAAACATAGGCCCAGTGGCTAACAGCTCAGGGTTTAGAATTTTATCATGTCTGGACTCAAATCTCAGCTCTGACACCAGTTATATGACTTTGGCCCAGTTACTTAACCTTGGCTACGTTTCAGTCCCCTCATCTGTAAAACGAGGATAACAATACTACCTCACTAGGATGTTGTGAAGTTTCTACTAGATAATTGGAAAAATGGGTTTAGCACAGTGCTCAGCTCATAGCAAGCAAAAATAAATACTGCTGGCTATTGATGATGATGATGATGATGATGATGATGACAACCAAGGCCTTATTCCCCTTTAAGCCCCTGATGAGTCCCTCTAATTTATTCTCTCCATATCAGTGACTTCTCCCTTACTGAAAACCTGGCATTATCATTTAAGTTGCTTAAAATCACTTCAAACTCCTCACCATTTCCTGAGGACCT